ATTTTATTATACTATATTAGCGTTATCTATTGATTTATTTATTTACTAATTTGCGCGTACCTCATAAAATTCAATACGTTATGTTTACAAAGATGACAAATAGCACAATTATTCATCGTAAATCTGTGCGTCGGTATATCAGCCGGCTATCAATGGCGGGGTCATAGACAATTGTTTATGTTGCTGTGACGTTTCTCTAGTCTATTTTATTGACAATCGCGTCTGGACTCTAAATTATTGTTAGCTTTACTACTTATGAAATTACCGGCAACATGATTATTACATTTATCGAGCCCGTTTTACTAAGTAGGTCGAAAATTGATTCGACACTCACATTAAAGTATTAATGTGTTATTGAATTCGAAATACTTTTTTTTTGAAAAAAGAAAAGTGACATTTCTGGCAGAATGTTCCATTAACACGTCTCAATTTTTTTACAATCTCGGGGCCGTTTAAAACACATGCATTGTTTGACCGAAATTATTCCAGCGGTTTAGGAATTTAGTTAGGAAATATCGTAAAGTAGGATGAATAATAGTCATAGATTGAAAAACAGAAAACTACAATTCTTTTTTAAACCATAACATTAAATGATTTTTCTTTAGTAAATCAACTATTTAATACAACGATTCTACATATCCTTAATCGCAAAAATCCTCGAATATTTCGATGTCGACTTCTAGTTTTGTTTCTATCCACTACGTTTTACTGAACACACATTCAAAATAATTACATATGACGTGTTTGTTGACAGTTATTGTAGAGATATAGCACTTTCCTAATGCGTTCTTACATCGTGATAGCTGCGTAACCCAAATTACTATGTACATCCATCTACGTTGAATCATTGGAAAGGCCGATGGAAAAATATATAAAAACAGCTAGCAATATTATGGATATTGAGAGGAAATTGTAGATTGTTGCAATAATTTAGTGCTATAAAATAGTTTTATAACTTCGTACAATAGATAGATTAATGTTATGTTACAGTTTATGCAGTTTTTTGAAACAAATATGTTAACATTAATCATAAAAATGGCTGAATTGACTATGAAACACAAGAGCAACAACATTCATCTTAAAATTTTCAAGTTATTTGTTCACAAGTCAAAGACAACAGACAACGGAGTAAACGACACAGATTATAGCCTACTATATAACCAGAACAGCGAACTGACATGACAGAACATTTTCACAATTTTACCTTGTTTAAAAATCGAATTCAGTTCCCGTGACGTAAGACAATTTAACCAATCAGCTATTGCCCTGTATAGTACATTTTACTTTATAAAGGAAGTATAAATCGGACAATAAACTGTGCGCTATCCACAAGTTAGCACATACAGTGAACTAGAGCACAATTCGCGCTGATTTTAAGCGGGTCGGGTTGAAAGATCGCCTGACCTGAGATATACTGCTCAGAAAACATAACACGCTAAAACTAACAACTCTCTGAATACGTTTTTGTGTGTATAAAAATTCAATAAACAATCACTCCCACCTGTTGCCCAGAGGCGGATTATATCATATGCTTTCTTATAAGCATACATACGTAATTAATATCCGTTCCTTGATATCGATTCGAAATTATTTTATGAAACCGAGAACAAATATTTGATCGCCCTAAAACAATACATTTTCTTTTGCAATTCCGATCTTTGAATCGGTAAAATGATTACCAAATAGATTTTACCGATTTACATTACATAAAAAAGATTGCAGTACTACAAAGTGAAGACGAAGTGCCGTAGTATTTACTCTTATCAGAATCATGCAGAAATTTGTAGGTTATAAAATCTCTCACGGGACTCTTGCGATAGATAACGTTTGATAAACTACTAAGCTCAAAATACTTGAGAAATAAAGCTTTACCACTATATTTAGAGGCGTTTAATTGTAACTGAACCTTTCTGGGTACTACTATAATTGTTAAAGTAAAAAATTGCTTACTACAATATCTACACTTTTAAATAGTCATCGTATCGTACATTTATAAGAAACTGTAAGAATGTAAATATAATTTATTTTATTCACTCATATTTTATTTTAAATATCTGTATAATTTCCGTATTGCATTGTAATTTTTCAAACCTTTTTTTGGGCACAAAAATTTGAAACACATCAAGAAAATAAAACAGGTGGTCGAAAAGAGCAATAGACGTTGACGCGTGCGATGCGAACCCTTTTTGTTTTTTTTACCAGTCAAAGGGACCACAGACGTTCGTTTTAAGACAACAATAAAATATGCCATAACTCGTTTTAAAATAACGTAGACAATGGATTAGGGTATAAATCTAGGTAATTTTTTTGTTATTTATGGCGGTATTTCTAGATTTTTTTTTAAATTTTATAGTTATTGTAGGTTATATAGCAATTGAACCACTCCACTTTTGTGGACCTATAGATATGGTTGTAACAATAGCATATTAATATTAAATAGTGTGTAGTATTGTTCGTCTGTAGCTACTTATTTTTAATGAAATATTTTTATTGACTATCAAATCATAAAACTATAACCTTTGCACAACATTTAAATTTCAGATTATAATTAAACTAAACATTTTTTAAATTTCAAAACCATTAATATAAAATTCATATCAACATCGACAATAACGGACAAATCAAAAAGATAGTAGATATTCAATTTAATCAGTACAACCCTTATAATATAAAGAAAGAATTCAAAAACGTATCTATACATAAATAATAAAATTAATAATAAATAAATTTTTAAGGAGAAATGTTTGTAATTTTATTTCTTCTTATCTTAAACATTACCCAATAATTATTCTTAATAAATAAATTTGATCGTAAAAATTAAACTCACGTTAAAGTCAATCACAAAACACGTAAACAAAACTTTTCAAAGTTCACTCACACAAACAAGTAACCAACAACACTCCCTTCTCAGACAAGAATCGTTCCGTCACTGAATGATTTGAATGGTCGTTACTCGTTTCGTAGCGTTGAATATATCGCCCCTGATACTTCGAAACAGAAATAAGGGACCCATATTTGCGAATTAAGTAGGACAAATGAAAAAACATCAATGTTAATTACTAACATGGACCTATACTTAAATATGTTAAGCAAGAATAGTCGTGGCATAAACCAGTGCGACAAAAAGCATTTTTAACTAAATTAATGTTTTTAAATATTAATGAACAAAATGTAAAAATTGCGTTAATTTAGTTAAAACTAAAAAAAATTGCAAATTGTGTTCATATCTCATACGTTCTATTGTGAATAATGATATATGTATATGATTTAATTATTTTTTAGAGTATCTAGTTGTGATAATTCAGTCAATCTTGGTGATATCTTAAATTAAATTTGTATGTGTATGTCCCGTTAACGCTTTCAGTATGGTGTTTATAGTGGTAGGATTTGAAACTTGAACGCAAGCTTCGGCAAATTAAATTAGAATGTACTTAAATATATTACAGTGCTCCCTTTTTAATTGTATGGGATTGCAGCATCTGTTTTATAATGTTAGGCAGAAAACAAAAATGCGTTGTTTAATTAAGTGTTTTATTATATTTAGGACCCGCTAATTACTATAATTTTTTTTATTAAGAATATTAGGAGATTTTTGTAAATTTACTAATATTTCTTGTACCATTCCAACTAAGCTCTAGGCTTGTGCTAGGACATGGTTTACGACATTAGTCGAATGGCAGGATTCGAACCGACGACCTCATGATCGGATATCTGTACCCGTAACCAAATATATACGTAATTTATTATTATTAAAGAACAGAGATAAAATAAAATTTATCTACGAGTTGCACGTCACATATTTTTTTACGAAGAAGATTTGTTATTTTAACTACGAGATAATAAAGATAAGTTTCTGTATTAGACATGTAAAATAAAATAAAAAAAATAAACAGCTTGAAGTTAGCGCTTACACGTTCTTATTTTTTGTCACTTAAAACTTGAGTTTAGCTTTAGAATTTAGATAACATTTTAAAATGAATAGCGCCAAACCGAAGGTGCAAGGGCAAAGGTATCGCTACTATTAACTGCCGCAGCTGTACGATGTATTGTCAATATAATACAAGTACAATAAAACTTTTTCTTTCTAAAACAGCCCTTAATTCCTGGTGGTTACGGGTTATATTAAACGCATAATGTAAATTGGTAGACTTAAATGATTCTACTATTATTAGTCGGATGTGTCGATTTTTATGGGGTTCCATTGATATAATTTTTTTGTCGCATCACTATGCATTTTATATCAGTGTTGATTCTTTAAGTTCGGTTTGATATCACATCAATTTATTTTCGCGCCATTTTTGTCTAAAATTAGGCAAAGGATAAGCGTGTACAACAAACTGATAGTTATTACATTTTGTTTAATTCATATAATAGCGAAATATAATGTTTATTGCATAAATATATACGTAATTAATTGTGTTACGTTTTTAAAATCCTTCAAGGTCCATCTTAAAAGATTTTATGATTTTATATTTTTTCTATCAATTCGTATCGGACGCTATGCAATTATTCATTTTATTGTCACGATCACGATAGTCTGTTATATTACATTGTTAAAATTTAATGGGTTTACGTGCGATAAAACATTTCACTTGTTCATTGTTTTCTGTGTTTTATTATCTTGACGGGATATTCTAGTATCCTAGTATATCATAATGATTCTTTTAATACCACATCAGGTTTTTTACATTACTTTGTACTAAAAAGTAACTAAATATGTTCATAAAATTGTAAAAGTATCGAGAGATTCATAGAATTGTAGGAAATGGACGGATCGATCGTTTTTACAATTCTTTATTATTTAATTCCTCTTGCTCTCGATTATCATTATTTCCATATTATCTTTCTGAATTAATGCGAAATATACAGTAATTTAATCGCCAAGAGTGTAAACTAGGCTTTCTAGCGTTAAATTAAAATAGTAAATACATTTGTATTCTTGGCTGCCTGTCTAAGTTGTTTTAACATTAGAAAAATCAATGTGTCATTCTTATGTCGTTGTCAAAGTCAAAAACAATGTCAACATTTCAAAATGCCAGGTGCAGTGTGTGAAATTATTGATGATATTGAAGATTTAATATCTTCTCAAGACATAACTCCTAAAGAGAGATATGCAAGCAGAAAAAGTGTAAATGTAAGATCCAAAAAACGACTAGCAGAAAAGAATGAAGAGCCAATTGAAAAGATAGTGCTAGAGAGTGTTGTACCAGGTAACCTATATGTTGTTTATTTCTCTCATATTTTTTAAAATAAACAAATAAATAAAAAAATAATGAGTTGGCATCTTGTATATAAACATGTAAATACATCAGATGGGTTACTTTTCTTTACAAACTGTTACAGGAACTCAAAAGATTTATGTAAAGACATGGGGATGTGCACACAACAACTCGGACTCGGAGTACATGGCGGGCTTGCTGGCGGCAAACGGGTACCCGCTGACGGAGGACAAGTGGGACGCGCAACTCTGGCTGCTCAACTCTTGCACCGTCAAGAGCCCGGCTGAGGACCATTTCAAGTCAGTTAGAGATGTTATTTTGATTTAATCTATAAACCCTAGAGTGGAAAATGGTATATTTTTTTAGTAATACACTTTTTCATTTCAATTACAAAACGCAATGTTTGTTACAATAACATTAAATAATTCTTTTGTACTTTAACTTGTTAACATGTATGCAAAAAACATCTTTTCTAATTCATACATAGTACCTTTAACAGTTTATCCATTGGTTGCACTTGCCTTTTACTAATGGTTGATTAAATTTTATGAAAGAACTAGATGTCACGAATGCATTCATTAACAATTTTTTTATTTTGCTGTAGAAATGAAATAGAATCGGGTAAAAGCCGTGGCATCCATGTGGTAGTGGCTGGGTGCGTGCCGCAAGGTGCTCCACGCGCCCCTTACCTGCAGGGGCTCAGT